ATGTTTGCTACTTGTTTGGGTTTTATGTATGCCGTAGATGGAGTTGATGGAGATTCCCATCATGACTTAAGTCAATTAGAAGGCCAATTGTGTCCACTCAAGTGCAACAATTAGTCGCATAATAGGAGCACCCATGAGATGTTGTTGTGGGTGGAGCCATGGCAGCCACTTCAATTGAATTATAGTTTAGAATCAAGAGATGCCATGCCATATAATGCCATGCCTGCCTGCCTGCCTGCCTGTCTGCCTGCCCAATAGACTCAAAGGAAGCCAGGCCACACGGGTCGTGGCTGTGTGGTGAAATTTAATTTGTGAATTATTTCTCAGTATCCTTGACCTGTTGCTAAATCGAACCAAAGGACAGACAGCCACTGTGTGGGTGTCTCCCCGTATCCGGTTACTAATTTATGGACATTTATTGCATGGCTACGCACATAACCGGCTCTCCCTCGTCCTAATGAGTGGGCATACATAAATCACAGATAAACCGAGAACAACAGGTTCTCCCACAATCATATTCGACCAGGTTTCGGCTCAGTGGCCCAGTCAGTGTGTCAGACAGACACACACAGGCGGGTCTGGCTGCTTCCAGGAAGTAACCGGATCGCTCTACAATTACAGTATCCTCTCTGAGTATAGCTCTGACAACATGAGACACTTGGCGAACAAAACACCGTTAGCAAAGAGCGCAAAAAAAAAGACAGGAGCAGAAGCAGGAGCAGGAGCAGGAGCCGGAGTTGAGCAACGAGACGACAAGAATGATATTGTATGGAAAGTATCGCATATCAGCAGACGACAAGGACAAGGACAATGCTGAGAGCTGAGTACGAGGACATTTGGTTGTGGAGGAGGTGGAGCAGGAGGAGACTCCACCATTGTCTGAATGCAATGTAGCGCCACATTTTCGTGCGGCTGCCACTGTTGCCATGTTTATTGTTCCTCTTTCTTTTTGGGGAGCTGCTGCTGCTGCTGCTGCTGTTGCATATCCATGGCACTCGCACAAACGCATTTATTGAAGATTTACAGCGGCAACTTGCAGACAAACAACAAGCCAAATGGCAGGGGCAACATTTGGTGCGCCTTTTGGCATCCGAGTAACTTACATACATACTTTCCCTCTCCATTGCCATACTTTATCCATGGCCATGGGCCCGATGGCTACGTAATTTCATTTGCGTTAGGAGAATCGGACGAGTCAGACGAATCGAGTGAATCGGAGAAAGGGGTACGGGGAGAAACGCGTGACTCCCGTAAGGCAACGTAAAAGTTTTGCAGTTATGTCCGCAGAAAGTAGGAACAAGAGCAGCAAATGCTTATAAGTATGCTTACCATTTTGTGTGTTGGCTGCATTTTGCTGCCACTGGCACTGGCACTGCCACTGCTGCTGACGCACGTACCGGAAGTGCGCCCGGGGTGGCAGCAGTGACAGACTGGGATGGGCATGGGCATGGAGCACAAGGACGACACACGTCACGGCAAAAGTTAAAAGTTTGCCATCAATGTTTGCATTTCAAGTTTCACTCCTGGATGGCAGTTCATTTTGCCTCAGCGCTGTGCTGCGCACAGACGTCCTTGACAGGATGACAGAGAGCTGGAGCAGGAGCAGCTGCTGCAACAAGCAATGCCTCAAGCAGCCAGCACATGGCTAGCAGCGTGCCACTCTACTCTAGCTGAAATACACTTTCTTTTCTGCCTTTCTGCTGATGAAAAGCTAATGAAAAATGCATTGAGTGGCTTTAAGCTCAAGGATGTCTGCGACTTCTGCATCTGCAAGACTTGTCCCATATACCAGAGATATGATCATCCATTCAGATGCTCACCTTACCTTACCTTACGCTCTCTCTCAGCACATCCAATCAATAAAGATTCAGCGCTGAGTCAGTGAGCTCTCTGACCAGCACAGAATCTCTGACTCTGAATCAAGCTAAATCGCCAATCTTCTGATTTGCCCCCTGTGCCATGTCTTGTGATAGTACCTCTGGTCTCTGGTCTCTGCTGTCTGTTGTCTGGTCTCTGGTGGTGCTGCTGCTTAAAGAACTTTCGACAAATTAGATAATTATCTGGTAGAATGAACAGGCCAGGCCCCAAGTGTGGCGGCAAAGTTTGTTGATGGTTCTATGGGTTAGGAGAAAACTTCAATTCCCTGATCAGGTGCCACTCCAAGGGTTTTGCCTTGCCAGTCCGTCCGTCCCTTCTGTCCGTCTGTCTGTTTTATTTGTCTCGCCTTCTGCTCCTTTTGTGTGCGAATGTCTGTGTGTGTGTGTGTTTGTCAAGCTGTTAAGCTGTTGTTTGTTGTGTATTGTACGTGTACGTGTACGTGTTTTACGCACATAAACGTTGCCGGGGTCGAGTATTTATTGCGCGCACAACTTGACATAATTCCTGTTTGCTGCCAAGTAGAGCAAGGAATAAGCTGATGCAGCAGCAGCAGCATTGGCCATCGATATATAGATATATATAGAGTGTGTATCATCATCATCATCATCAGCATTAAGAACCACATTGAAGGCGACAAAGCTGCTCTTGCTGTCGCGTAGGAAAAGAACAAGTTTTGACTTAACAACTTCATCTCTCATCTCATCACAGCAGTTGGGGAGCGGAGCGGAGCGCGCACTTAGTTTATCTGACAGCCTATGCGAGTACGTGCGTGCGTGTGTGTGTGTGTGTGTGTGTGCACAATAAGATTTCTTAGCGCATTAAGCAGCAGTAGCGGCAGCAGAAGCAGCGGCAGAGCAGGAGTATCAACAACAACAACAACAATAACAACAAATAAATGCCATTAGCAGGCAGCAAACTGTAAGCCAAAATGGCGCCATCAACGCGAAAATAATACGGGAAAATGCGGCGTTAATGGCAACGCTGAAAGCTGTATGAAACAGAGACAAAGAAAAAGAGTGAGAGACGGAGACGGTGACGGTGACGGAGAGCGGGAGCAGAATGAACAGCCAAAGGCTGAAGGGGGGGCGCATGTGAAGGCAAACGATATTATGATTATGATTATTATGTTGCTATTAGATTAAGAGCAATTTTAACTTTTTCCGCTCGCAGACAAAGGCTTGCTACCCAATTGCTCGCTCGCTCCCTTGGCTACCCCCTCGTGAACTCATTTGCTTGCGACTTCTCATCCTTTCTTTGCTGTTCTGTTCTGTTCTGTTCTTTGCTTTCCTTTTTCCTGAGTCAACGCCTTCCGTTTGGCTTTGGCTTACGACACTTGACGCCCAAGAGCAGCAGAGCCGAGCAGCACAGCCCACAGCCCACTCTCAGTGCTCAGTCAGCTTCTGCTCCTATTACAGCCTGGGTCTTAGCCACGCTTAATTGGTTGGCTTTTATTACTTGGCAAGTGCTGCAAGCGCATAATTTGCCACGGCTTTGTACTCTACTCCACTCCACTCCACGCTACTGTACATACAGTGGGCTGTATGCTGTGCTGTGTGCAAGGGATTATATAAATTCAAAGGTGGGATTAATAGCAAACTTATTCGGTAACACTCTGCAGTATGTGAACAATTGATAATGAAATTAAAATACCTGCAAAATTGATCAAATAAATGGGAAATTCCACAAATTGTTGAACCGTTTTGTGAAATTCTCTCAAATGTTTGAAAGAATTTTTCGGAAATTGGAAATATATTTTTGTGGAATTTCTTTTGTTCTCATCTCTTGCCTGAGATTCATTTCCAATGCGTTTGCCACACACCCCTTTGCTCACCCTCCGCCTCTGTCTCAGTCTTTGCCACCGCTAACGTTTAGGTGTGCGTGTGAACTGAGAAATCTTTTTTTAATTAAATAAGCATCCCGTAGATTAGGGGACGGGCAACGGCGGCAGCAGTGTGGCCCTTCCTTGGAGTCATGCTGGCTGCCTGTGTCGGCTCACTTCGCACCTACACACACAGCCACGCCCACGCCCAAGACTCCATTCAGACAACCGCCCACCCAATCACGGGGCCAAACAAAGAGCAGGAGGGGCGCGCGTGCTTTTGGTAGTTTGTGGCGCCATTTTAGCGCGAAATGAATTTAAATTGTTTGCCGTCGTTTCCTGCATTAAGGGCAGCTTCCTTTTTGTAGACCGTTGCGGGCTGGCCTGGGCTGGGGCTGGAGCTGTTGCCTCTTGGCCAAAAGAAGAAAAACGAAATTACTTAATTACAACAATTATTATATACTCCCTACCCCAGGCAGTAGGGCGGCCTGGGCAGTAGGCTATGGGGTATGGGCTATGGGGTGGATTTCCTGTTGTATCCTGCTGTTTTGTTGCTGTTGTCTGTTAATTTAATTAAATATTTTCACACCTTCTGCTGCTACATGCACATTCTACAAAGGGATACATAGATTTCCTCTTCCTCTATGGGAATTTTAGGTGTTAATTTCCTGTCTAGTGCGAGTAGATGCAAAACAACAACAGCAACAACCTGCTGCTGCTGCAAGTCGGTTCCAATAAAAATAATTGCCATGGCCAGACAGGCAGGCAGGCAGGCAGGCAGCAGCCGGAGAAAATTACAAGGCACTCACTCTGTGTAGTCCTTGGAGTTTTATGCCACGGAAAATTGCATGCGAAATAATTGAAAAGCATCGACTGCAGCTTTGTCCTGCTGCTGCTCCTTGGCTGCATCCTCCGGCTGTAGATAAAGTTTTCTCACTGCACCGAAATAATAGGAGCCAAAGTGGTTGTAAATATTTTGTGCCCAGCATCCGCTCCCTCTGTCCCGCAGCGTGACAAAATGCTGCGAAAACTCATTTTTCAGCTAAATGAATTTGCGCCAACTGCGCAAAAAACAAGCAGCAAAAGAAAATGGCCAGACAAAAAAAGCGCGCATTTCGGCCATCTAAGGAGGTGGCAAAATGGCTTTGTCACTGGGTGCTGCATCCTGTGGGCACTGTGGGTTCAGGCGAGGCAAGTTCAATGGTCACCTAATGAGGCGACCTTAAGATTACTTTTTCACGATTTACTCAGCGCTGAAACTTTTCCCTCTTACCAAGTGTCCATTTCCATCTATTCATTGCAGGTCCTCCAGGACCGCCCGGCCCACCCGGCAAGCGAGGGAAGCGCGGCAAGAAGGGCGACACCGGCGACAAGGGCGAAGGGGTAAGTGGCAGCCAAGTGCACAACAACGCGTCCATATGCTAAGCCCAGAGAATGTTTTGCTCCACGATCTGCAGGGTCTCAATGGCATCAGCGGCGAGAAGGGCGCGGCTGGGAAGCCCGGCGACAAGGGCCAGAAGGGCGACACCGGCCATCCCGGCATGGATGTCTTCCAGACGGTGAAGGTAAGTCCGTGTCCGTGTTCGTGCTCCACCCCCGAATCCACTTGCAATCCAAGTAAAAAAAAAAACGGCTGCTGCAATTCTCGGCTCAAAATTGAATAGAGTCTAACTGGATCTAAATTGCTTTTGCATTCCTAGGGTCTGAAGAGATCGGTGACAACGCTGCACGGCGGCACGTTGGGCTATGCGGAAATAGTTGCTGTTAAGGTATAGCCACACCCATCAAAACCCGCCACTTACCCCATCCCATCCCTTAATCCACCCACTAGCACTAGCACTCACTCACTCACTCGAGGAGTCCTGCTGTAGTTGTAGACGTGGTCATGGCCATTGCTCAAAGGGCAAATGCAGATGGCCAAGAGATGGCAAGCAAATGCAACAAATTATTTGCAACTTGTTGTCCTTGCCTTGTCCTCTCTCGCTCGGCCCTCTCTCACTTCGTGTGGTCCTGTTTGTTGGTCGTCTGCATTTGTCCTTCCAGCCCCAGTCCCAGTCCAGTCCCAGTCCAGTGTCGTAGTTGGTCTTGTTGTAGTTGTATTTACGAGTATTGTCCCCGCTTCATTGTTGTTTGTATCCGTAATGCTTTTAAGTTGTCTCTCCAGTCAGTCTACAGAGTCTGTCCAGTCTGCAGTCTGCAGTCTGTTGTCTCTGCTGTCTGCTGCTCCTTTGTTTAAACTGCACCATAAATTTGTTGCAACATCGCAGTTTGGTAGACTCCTCTACCTCTACCTCTTCCTTCTCCCTCGTTTTTTCCTTTCCTATACTTTCCTTGCCTTTACTTTACTTTCCTTTCATTTCCAGTGGATGACACTTTTTGGATGCCTTTTCATTTCGTAGATTTCTCTGTAATTTTTAATGGAATTTTCTCATGGCCGTTGGCCGTTGGCCGTTGCCATTTCCCTGTACTGTATTTTCTTCTGTAGACTTTGAGTTTTTCGGCTTAACCAACAAGGGGTGTAGTGTCCTTAGTGTGGGTTTTATTTGCTTTTCATTTGCTTAATCTTGCTTTTTGCAGCAGCTGAAAACTTCTTTATTCTGTATTTTGTATTTTGTTGATTTATATTAACCATTTTATCATTTTTTATGATTACTTTGATTAACCGATTTTTGTAACTTTTTAACTCTTTTTGGTTGATTTTGGTTGATCCTGTGTTGTTGTTGTTTTGTGGTTGGTGCGCTGTAAGGACTTGCAAAAAGCTGGCGTCAATGTATCCGCTTCCACAGTCATACAGCTAAAGGTAAGTTGCTGTCCAGCCCGATGTCGAGTCCCATGGCAGCGCATCCTTTATTCCTTCAGCATGTCCTTTACTTTATGTCCTGCACGTGCCCACCACTCTCTCCCCACTCTCTCTATCTAACCACTGCCTCAAGTTAATCTCTGCCCGAGCAACTCCATGGGCGATCCTAAGCTAATAAACATCTCTCTTTGTATCTGAACCCATTCAGGGTGAGCCTGGGGAGCCTGGTCCGCCAGGACCTGCCGGCGAGCCGGGCCAGCCGGGGGTGCCCGGCGAGCGAGGACCACCAGGCGAAACTGGAGCGCAGGGCGTTCAAGGCGAGGCCGGGCAGGCGGGTCCAGCCGGACCGCCTGGCGTGTCTGGTGCACCTGGCACGAAGGTGAGTACCGACCGAAGGTGATTCACCGAAAAACCCGAAAAACCAAAACAAAGACCCCGAGATAAGGACACCAACAGGCACTCCCGCACACCCACACACACAGCGTCACGTCACACATGCATAACAGCCAACCGAAGAACCGAAGAACCGAGAAGAAGATGTCACCAGGATTAATGCATTATCCGTATAACATTGTGACATTTTAAGTGACTGACTGCCAAGTGATTCGTAGTCTGTGTCCTGGCTGTGCGTGTGTGTGTGTGCGTGTGTGTGTCTGCTTTTGTTCTGCCTCGTTTTCCCATTTTCCTTTTTTGGTTTTTTGGGTTTTTTCACATTATTTATCGTTTATTTATGTATTAAGCGCCTGCCGCACCTTTCCTTCTTGACATTTTCCATTCTGTTTTCGAAGCATTTTCCACTTAATTTTACTCACTCGCATCCGCATGCGCCTTTCTCTGCTCTGTCTCGTTTCGCAGGGTGACAAAGGCGATCGCGGCGATCGTGGCCTAACCACAACCATCAAGGGTGACGAGTTCCCCACGGGCATCATCGAGGGTCCGCCGGGACCGGCTGGACCACCTGGTAAGTGCCAGCTGTACGGGTATATCTATCTGTACACGTCTGCTCTGTTCTGTTTGTTTGTTTGTTCATTTCATCCAACAGCCACTTAAGCACTCTTACGTATAGATACGCAGATACAGATACACGCAGATGCAGATGCAAACGCAGTCGCAGCTTGGGAATCGATCGATCCATCGGATGAGTTTTTCAAGTGTTGCCACGCGGCTGCGGGTCGCCTAATTTATTGTCATCCGAATCTGGGAATGCTCTCACATCACATCACACCACCCGCCTGCAGCGGCACGCCCCCGTCCCACATCTAATTGAGTCATTGACGAACGGAACATTGCGTCCCATGATTTGGCCTTTGATTTTTGGCCTCTTATTTTTGGATGTGGCGTGAAAAGCGACGCAGCGCAGCAGCGGCTCGCCTCGGCTCGTTAAAATGGAAATCAAAATGCCAGCGAGTTGCATTTCCGCTGCCTGCCTGCCTGCCGCCTGCCTGCCTGCCGCCTGCCTGCCTGCTGATTTTAATGGGCTCACACATTTTTTAAATATTTTATTGGATGCCTCGTCCATATTTGGGAAATTTTTCGGGAATTTCATTTGGCGCTGCCGCATTTTGCGATAACATTTACGACCTTTGCGCTCCGCTGCTGCACCCCGCCCAGTTCGGGCCACGACGTCAATTAAATGCGTACCAAATTGTTGGGGAGCTCCTCCACATCCTCCAATCGATGGCTCCCTCCCACTCGCATGGAACGGACGCTGCCCACAGCAACAATAGAATTTCCATTTGTTTGGTTTGGTTTGGCTTGCTTTTATGAGCGCTGGCTGGCCCCAACCAAACACATTTCTGCACTTTATTCGAATTTAATAAACGAAAATAGACCCCAAATAACATGCCGTTCCCGAATAGTGGAGTAGTTCCCCCCTCCCCACCCAACCAACTACATGTCCAACGATTTCCATAAAAATTTGTAGACCCCGAGAACTCGAAACACTTCTCGCAGTCGTAAAAATGCAACTTTATGTCATTTATGTTGCTTTTAGCGGCTCATTAGCATGGGATTGGACAGCCATCGAGAGCTGTAGCTGTAGTACCTATTGGGCACAGAATGGGTTGTGGGGGAGACAGCTTGTACTATTGTTTTACTAGGGGCACTCAGGGGCTCGCATAATAAACCAGCAATCGGTTGAGCTTGGACTGGGGCCAATGATGAGTGGATAGATTGATGGCCCATAACTGTCGTCTGCGACATTGAAAACTCCTTTGCCGAATTGATGGATTGTCAATGGATGGCTGGATCGATGGATGGCCGAAAAGAATTTCAATTAAACTGCTCGCTCAAACAGAGATTCAATTGAGGCCTTTCTTTGGGGGGGTTTCTCCATCTTCCGATTCCAAGTGGATGTACCAGCGAGTGCCCCTAATGCATTTGAGCGTGGCATCAATTAAGCGCTTGTCCGCGGCTTGTACGACCCGCATCCACTTGCCTTATCAGTGGGCTGGCATCAAAGTGCTCCGATGTTGCAGTTGCAGTTGCATTCGATGTGATTGCGATGATTACGATGCCCATGCCCATTACGAGGCCATTGTTTCTAGATTTCTTCCTGGGCTGCCACCAGATCTGCGGCTGTTGATAGCCAAACGTTGCCCAGTTGCACCATTGCAGTTGCAGTTGCACCAGTGCCTGCCCCCTGTGCGCCTCTGCTTCTCTGTGTCCGCTGCCTGATGGACATGAAATTGCAATTTATTTGTTCCGCAACGCCCTCCCCCCGTCCCGAAATCAGCAACGACCAACTGGAGGAAGTCGTCGCTGGAGCTCATGGGACATCATTTGGTCTTGATTTGAATAAATTGAGTGTCATTTGTATTTTGGGATTTCTTTCGTCTGGTCTCGACGGCTTGGCTTGGCTTGGCTGGGCTTGGCTTATCTTATCGTTCTCGTAATTAGTTAAGCTTTTGCTTTGCTCCACAGACGCACAGACAGGCCCTCCCCAGAGCCGCAATCTCTCACAGCAATTGAATGTGTCATTCCCTGAAAATGCTGGTCCAGCAGGAGAAAACCCACACACAATCTCAGAAGTCTCAGGCTGTAATAGCGAACAAAAAATTCAATTTATTTATTTGATTTATTTGAATTTCATTTAATTTGGTTTTGGTTTTTGGTTGATTGCATTTCGTCTTTGGGCTGCTAGACTCCAGAGTCTAGACTGTACGAGAGTGTATGAAATTAAAACTTATCTTTTGCATTTCATCTGCAAACAAGGCAACAAGCGAAAACAAAGCCGGCAATCCAATATCCTGGACTGGACACCATAAATCCGCAAATCCTGCCACTTGAATCCACTCTGCCGCTCTTCTTGGGGCTCTGTCTGCCATTGTGGAAATAGTTTTATGTTTTTATTTTGTATTTTGTTTGCAATTGTCGCCTAAAATGCTTAACCGTGAATTATGCAACCATAAATGGGAAAACTCTGGCCGAGACAATGAAAGAGTGGCAACGAGTGGAGATGGGGCATGCAGACACATATATTTTATAAACAAATGGGAAACGACATCTACAGGATCTACAGAAACCCAAATTGTCGTCCCGTTTCGTCCGTTCGTCCAGGCAGGCAGGCAGGCAGGCAAGTCTGGCAAATTTATGCTCAACCGAGTATCTGACCAACGGACACGACACGACCTAGTCCTCGCCCTCGACCTCTCCCTAAAACCCAATTTTACGAACTTAATAAATTTTCTATATCTTTTCGCACAAAATACACACGAAACACACACAGACACACACACACAAGGGCACATTTTGACAAGCCGCACAATTGGATTTATCTATGATATGACTCCTCTTGTAGCACCCCCATTGTTGGCTGTGCAAATGGTCTCATTTAATGGCCATGGTAAATAGCAGTGCCAGAGCCAGAGCCCATCATGGCCATGGCAAAAAAAGGGGAACGCTATTTCTCATTATTTTAACTAAACAGGTTGCCCATCCACAGTGGGGCAAAGTCAATTTAACGCTGATCGATTTATGGGCCAGGGCCACTTGGCGGTATTGCCCCGAGTTGAGGCAGCTTAACAACAGAATGCGCAAATTGAGTGAAGAATGAAGAGGGGGCTTTTGCTTTTGATGGGGCAAAAAGTGGCTGTCGTAGTCGTTGTCGTTGTCTCTGGAAGACCAAGAGATTGGAAACAGATGAACACAAATTGGATTTGAATGCGGGAGGAGCCACCGAATGGGAGTACTATGAGTACGAATACGAGTACGAGTATTTGCTGCGAACACAGATTCAATTTCAGCTGCAGTTCATTGGGCATCCTTGATGGCATAAATAAATTCCTTCTGGGAGCTTCTGGCAGCTGGCTGCTGGCAGCAGCAGGGAAAGTGCAACTTTTGCATATTAAATTGTTATTCTGCATCTGTTTGCCTCTCAATTCAGCTGAGTTGCTGCGTTTTGCAGGAAGACAAGGTATGACGAGTGGGTAGTTGGGTGGCTGGCTGGCTGGCTGGCTTTAAGTAGGTCAAGTCGCTGGCGATGCATTTGCCTTAGCGTTATTAGCATTGTCGTAGAAAGAAGCAGAAGCCTCGAACTACGAACCACTTGAGTACAGCGATTGGCAACCACTGTGGCCTGAACTGAACCCAGTTTAATTCATTCTTTGGCAAATAAACAATTTGCATTTTGAACTAAGCCAAAGCAACCCCATTCAGCCCATCAAGAGGAGAGGTCTGTCCTGTCCCGTCTGTCCTTCGATCCCTTATCATCAACCAGTTGTACAAATTGCTGACCAAAACCAACAAATGATTGTGGAGGACTCGGGGGCAGGGCTGGGCTGGGCAGGGCTGGCAGTTTATTGAGCTCTTGTTGCTCTATAATTACAAAAGGTAGCGCCTGGTCATGCCCCTCCCACTGTTTGCATAGCACTTGTGGGCTGTATCTGTATCTGTGTATCTGCGTATCTGCGTATCTGGCTATCTGCATGAATCTGTGTATCTGTATTTTGTTTACACGAATTTTGGAAATCTGTCACTAGATATTTGAGGCTAAAATTAACATTTTCACCACCAGGTCCACCAGGGGAGCCCGGCGTGCCCGGCGAGGCGGGACCCATCGGACCAGCTGGACCCCCCGGCGAGAAAGGACCGCGCGGCAAGCGTGGCAAGCGGGTGAGTAATCAAACAAAAAATAATAAGAGAGCGAAAAAAAAATGAGAAGGAAAAACTTGATTTCCACTCGATTTTTAATTGGAAACCCGACCGAGTGCGGGCCGTGCTGTAAATTGAGTTGAAAAACAGCAGCGCGAAAGAGCGCTACGCAAGAAGTGTATTATCATGTAAATTACTTTTGTAAAAATGCGTGGGCGTGTGCGTTAATGTTATGCTAATCTGTAAATAAAAGTGCGTCAAAGCGCGGCGACTGCGAATCCCCCCCACGCCCCCCATCGTATACCCGAGGGCGTTGGGTGTAAATATGAACGTGGCACATCCTTTCCTATCCTTCCGCATGGCCAGGTCGAGTCCCCCCCCGCTCGGCTGGGCACTCTCTCACCCACCCTCACCTACCTGCATGTTGAATGTCGTCTATGTAATGAGCATGTTTACACGACTCCGGCAGCCATGAACGTGCTGCCGCTGCCACTGCTCCACTCATTACTCATTACACCGCCTAGCCCGTAATGAGAACTATGTACATAGATGTGTACATACCCAAGTACTGCTCGTAGTATGTGCCTGAATATGTTTAGATTGGCGTGGAGGAGCACTACTTTGACAGCCCGCGAAGATGTTCCGCGTGCGTCGCAAACTACAATCAAAGTTCGCCAATTCCCGCCCCGCTGCTGCTGCTGCTCCGATGTAAGGACGTTGATAGGAGAGCGTAAAAGTATGTGACAGATACTTTGCCAGGGTAGGCCCCCAGGGAGACATCGTGACAGCGGCAGCGCCAGCGAAACTATGTCGAAGCTCATCGAAATTGTCAAAAATGTTTGCTGCTCTCTAATCTGCGGCCTTAATTTATGGGGCACCTCCCAGGAACGAACACTCAACGGCACTCTCTGGGTGTATCTGCAGCATTTATCTAGTCGTTTTGTATCTACGATGGGGGGCTCTGGCTCTGTCTATGGCTCCGCTCTTCCCTGGAATGTCAACAGTGCAAAGATACTTAACATTTTTATTGGCACTTGAAGTGTCGGCAGCTGTTGCCGCCTTCTGACGTGTTGATGGATGCACGATATGGAACGGCATGGGTATGGGGATGGCAATGGTGGAATTTTCATTTCATTTTTTCCTTTTCTTTTCTCTGATGTGCTCTGCTCTGCCGTGCTGTGTTTTGCCGTGCTCTGGGTGTCAGGGGGGGCATATATGAATATGTAGCCAGCCCCAGCACGTGTTTGTGTACGTTATGAAAAATGCATAAGCGCCGCCAGCCAAGCACAGGGAGATTGTGTGTGTGTGTGTGTGTGTGTGGGGGATGATCTCTCTGCCTTAGGATTCAACTTGATCTGGTGGCTGTGTAGGAGAGTTTGCTATTGATATGGGATATGGTGTATGGTTTATGCGTGTGTGTTTCTGTGTGTGTGCATATATATTATATGTTTATGTATGTATGCTGCTCAACCAAAGGCGCAAACATTTGCGCATTTTGCCAAGGAGGAAAGAAACATTCTGATTATTGTGCAGCACACAACAACAGAAACCAGCAAGAGGCAAGGGGCAGGAGGCAAAGTCAAAGTCATGGGTGTACTCGAGCTGTTGCTGTAATAACGCGTAATGCCATAAGAGAAAACAGACGATGTGCGATGGGGCATGGCCAACACCCAACACCAAACCGAATGCCAATACGCCCGGCAGCAAAAAAACAACAAACAACAAACGGCGGCAGGCAGCATTGGCAGCAGTCAGCAGGCAGCATTGGCAACGTGCAACGCAACTTTTATGACTCTGCCGTGGATTTTCTTTCAATCCGAACGAGGGCGGCTCTATAATTTCTGCACATGAGTCCTACAGTAATAAAATTGGTTATATTCCAGCTATTCCCTGCATTGATCGCTTGACAATTAAAAAGTTTTATTGAATTAATTGTTTCCTTATGGCATCAAAATTTATTTAGCCCAATCGAAATTCAGTTTTCTTTTTTTGCGAAGAAACTAAAAGGAAAAGGAAGGAAATTAATACAATCGATTGGTCTGCTCTTTGCAAACTTTTCAATTGCCCCCCTGGGGCGGCTCTTAGTCTCTGCCTCTCTGCGTGACTCAATGTACGTAGCCGTTATGCTGCCGCAGCTCCTGCCCTGCCACCATCATAAGCTGTGGCGCTGCAGCAACGTGATGTCAAAACAAATGAAAGTCATAAGAAACGGCAGGCAGGCAGGCTGCCACTGCCACGGCTGCCACTGCTGCTGCTGCTGCTGCTTGGCTTTGCCTTTGGGGCCTTCTTCTTCGGCAAACAAACAAAACTTTTGGCAACAAACAGAAAAAGAAACAACAAAAAAAGTATCTATATTGGCACCCATGCGCCCCTCGCGCCACAGGCAGTGTGCAGCATAAAAATTATTTGCAACAATTGCCGTCATCTTTCGCTGAAACGTGACGCCCTCCAGGCTCTCCAGCAAGTTGATTTTCCAATGAGGCTTCGATTTTCCTCGAAAGGCCGCCCAATGCGATGCGAATGGAAATCTGTGTGTGTGTGTGTGTGTGTGTGTGTCTCTCATGTGGAGGTGGACGATGATGCAAATCGATGGGAAATATATAATGCGCATAAGCCGCCACCGTTGTGCGTCACATTTTGTGCCCATTTTGCCAAATTTGGAAATGCATTTAATTTGATTAGAAATTCATGTAATTAGTTCGGCAAGTCGTAAAAAAATGCCTCAATTGCCGGCGTGCTATTTTCAAATCTACATTTATCCGCTTTTCTCTTCTGCCACGCCTTCTGCCTCCCTGGGCCAGATGCTTCTGTCTATGGATCTGGCCAAAGCCATTTCCATTTCCATTTCCCCTTTTTTGCCTTGCTGCTTTTTTTGAGTCATAAAAAGAAGGCACAACGCAATTGTTGGCATTATAAATTTGACATGTTATTTTCGTCGCCTCGTCAGAATAAAATGCTCATATAGATTGCCACATGCCCGGACGAGGGGCAGGCGACGGGCTCGGGCTCGGGGTCGGTGCCGGGGCCGAGGCCGTGGCATGATGACGGGTTAGCATATGAAATGAATTTGATGTGTCTAGTGAGGCGTGAGTGAGTGAAAGCTGGAAGAAGAAATGACTCTATACCGAAATGAAGTTGTTCCCTTCCCTGTTCCCTATACCCTGGGGGTCTGTCGCAGCTCTGGGCAATGCAAGGGCTAATCCCAGTGACAAAAGACGAGCTAAGTCATCTGTGAACAGCAGTGCTCAGCGATTGCAAAATGATATGAAAAATCCCAGGACTCCCCGCTTAAATGTAGGGTATGAAAATTATGATTTTTGCCTGCATGGCTGCGAGGCAAAAATGAAATTTACGATCCAGCATCACATTAAAAATTTAAATTAATTTCAAACTGTGTGTGTGTGTCGGGGCAAATACAGCGGGAATTTATTTCTATTTATTATGCGCACTGACAGAGAGCTCGCTTTAGCTGTAGCTGGAGCATCGCTGTGGCTCTTGCCACATTTGAACAATATTTTGGTTTAATAAAGTTGCAACAATAACTCACAGATATCTCACCGAAAAAGGGATTGGGTTTGGGATGGGCGAGGTAAAACAACAACAACAAAAGCGAAAACTGTTTGTGAAGCGTTTATGTCAAATTTATGTTAATATATTTTACAAACAATCGTTGCTCAGTTCGGTGGGGGCCCATGTCAAGTTTGTTGTCTTTCGGGGCCCTTCACATCAGCATAAATTTCCCTGTATCCCGTCGGCTCGCATTTCTTATCAAGGAGAAGTTTCCCTGGCTGCTCCCTGCCTTCCAGCTTGCTGCTCTGTCTCAGTAAATAGAGTCATAAAAATTGCGAAAGTCGCAAAAAGTGTAAGAAAGATACACGAAGGGGAAAACTTGTCAATTCGTTACACGTCACACGGTCCCCAAAAACTCCCCAATGGTCGGGTATGGGCTGGGATGGTAATGCGATCCCCAGGAACTCCACACATACGAAGCAACCGCAGTCGGAAGCTGCCACACATACACGCACACTCATCTCCCTGGCACAAATCAAAGACTTAAAGTTGCTTACATGGAAATCCAAATGACAACGAAGACGTGGCACAGGCACAGGCCCAGGCTGACCCTTTTTAAGGATGTCTGTGTGCCACTCTGCCACTCAAAGGGTTCATCTCTGCCGTTCGTTGCACACTTGGCCAATTCGTTTCCTTGGGTGTTGCCTAAACGACGCAATAAGCTTAACACTTTCAGCCCTACACCCCGCTACACCACTGCTCAATTCTCAGATTTTCATTGCTTCAGCTTGAGTGGAGCCGAGTTGCCTTCTTTTGTTTGATATTTTCACTGATTTGGTAAGCTCCACGCAAGGCTCTACAATTCACGAAATGGCCAACAATGTGAGCTTGTGTGTGTGTCTGTGTGTGTGTGTCTGTGTGTTACGTCATTGTTCATTGAAAAGTGCGCAGCATGCAAATTTGCCCGTCTCGTCGCTTCTCTTCAGCTCTTTTGTGCGCAATTTTCCAATTTTCCTGCTGCGGCAATTATTTGCGGTCAATGTCCATATATCTTTATATTGAATGGCGGACTGGCTGGCTGGCTGGCTGGCTGGCGAAATTGAACCCTGGACCCCCGCAAAAAAAAAGAGAAGAAAAAGCCGGTCAAGCATAACGTGGCTCGTACATGCCACAGGACATGCGTGGGTACATGCCATGGGACAATCTGTGTGTGCTGGTCGGGGTGCGTGGCCATGTTATGTCCTGGGCCCCCAAGGGTGTGCGTAACTTTTATTTTATGGCCGCTGATGATGAGAGCGCTGTGGGAGTCACAAAAACGATTGAATAAAGAAATCCAGCCGCACACACCCATACGTTGGGGGGCTACAACCCAACCACCAATCGCACTCCCAAGTTGCTCCCCGCCTAGTCAACCTCATAGAAATTTATGGGCACGCGTGCTACATTGACGTGGGTTTGAGGTTACACCAGAGTGGAGCTCTGATGGAAGGAAGGAAGGAAGCATTCACTGGATGGCTGGGGTGGGGGGTGCATGCAAAAGTAGCGAAATTATACGAAACGAACGCTTCAGCTTCAGCTTTGCCACCAACAGCCAAGAGGCAGCCACACCAATGCCAACTGCTGCCAACTTGGCATTGATGTGCCACCTTATTGTGGTTGTTGTTCGCGACGCGTCGTCTGTGGCGGCAAAACGACGAAATCTTTAACAACGATTTCCCTAAATACTTCCGAATTTCATACATATTACAATATCACGGCAACATCAGCGACGACAGGGAGCAGGGGGCAGGAGGCAGCAGCAGGAGCTTGGGAAAACCGCAGCAACAATGTTTGCGGGTAGAGGGGGCGGTGTGGAGCGAAATCACGTGAAATTTTTACAACAGAACCTAACTTGTTTTTTTTTGGTTTTTCTGTGGCATGCTTAATGCTGCTGGTGCACAGTGGATGCGAGCAGGGTGAAAGCGAACAGAAAGTTGCACTGAGTGGCACGCAGATGATTGAGAAAGTTGCAGGCCACTCGTTCCATTACTTATTTGTTTATGCTGATGATAAATTCCCCAGTGCGAGAAGGAGGGACATATCATGCAGAATATATCTACGTATCTCAGGGGACACTTCTTCCCCTTTGTTTATACTGGTAGTTTTTCTCTCGCTGTCTCCCATTGTGCCATCTCCCATCAATGGGAAGCGGCGGAACATATTACGAATTTAATGCGCTCGCGTACTTGCGAAGAACTTCGCTTTTTCCTCACCCTTACCCTTACCCTTCCCCTTCCCCTTTCCTGCCATCGTCGAATGTTTTGTAAACTTTTGTGGCAAACGCGAAACGCATTACATGCCATGAAGTGGCGGGATTTCGGCTGTGGCATGGCATTGGGGCAAGTTCTGTGTGTGTGTGTGTGTATGAGCCGGAAACGGGCTGCAAAACTTTCACCTCAGGCGGGGGAGTTTTTTTTGGTATTTATTTTTGTTCTTTTGCAACTCCTCGTTGCTGCTCGTTGCTGTTATGGCCTGAGAAAAATATGAAATTTCAAAAGAGGAAACTGCCAGGGAAAATGAAAAATTGTGGAAAATATGCGCGCACGCAAGATGGTGGCGCGAAACAGACGGCGGATTGGGGATTGGAACGGACGGATGGAACCCATCACGGGACCGGCGCGCCGGGCGGCACATGCTGTACTTGAAGCTGCCCTTGCTGGTCGCTTCCTTTATCTCTTTCGCACTCGGCAGCGACATCCAGGCGGCAAAGGTCGCGTCGAGATCAAAATGATTTTCAATTTAACGCGTTTACGTGCGGCCATTTGTCTGTTTTACGCTCTCTTTCGGTACAGGACAGGGGACAGAGACAGGGGACCGAGACACGGGACAGGGCAGCTTTAAATGGAGAAACTACGCCGGTCGCATGCTGAGGAGCAATCCAATGATGCGGCGTGGGGCTCACACGCAGAGTGGACAGACATTCTGGCAATTAATTTACAATTACAATCCGGGATTGTTTGGTGGCAACTAAATTGGAAAACAAAAAACAAAAAAAACAAAGAGAAAGGCTGCGCCTGAAAGTATGCTGCAGAACGTGTGCTGACTGTGGAGGGTCGAATGGGAATGGAAAATTCATTTGCTGCATCATTTGTGCGTTAAATTGAAAGGCGTTTGTGCAAATATTTTCAATATTTACGCATAATTGAAGAGAAAGTCCCCTCACACACACACACACACACACATTTATTTGTGTGTTGTTTGTGTAAGTGCGAGTGGGGGGGAGTGGGAGGCTGATGCTGGGGATACTTTGAAAATTAAATTCAGCCCGAGGCGCTCGCTCGCACAAATATTGATACATTCTAATGGATTTCCTTACAGACACACACTCATACACACTCATGCACACCCACGCACACATATAGAAGAAGCTGATTGGGATTTTGGGCTGACTGCCGAAAAGGCACAGGCACCAGCAGCAGCAGAAGCAGCACCAGAATCCAGGCAGAATCAGTTTTATTTTTTTTTGCGAGTCCTTTCGTAGTTAGGCAGCTGCGCCAACAATCGTCCTTGGCAGTCTAACAAACATTCACCCAATTCACTTGGCCCCGTCCGTATTCGCATTCGGATTCGCATCTGTATCTGTGTATCTGTAAATGTATCTTTTATTTATGTTATTTATCGTATCTGATGCTGGCTCCGGGCAGCTGCCTTTAAAAGCCTTTAAACCTCTTCGTATAGCCTTTTTGCTTTCAAGTTCTTTTGCTTTTTCTTTGTCTCTTGGAGGGGGAATGTTGGGCCCCCGTGTAAGCCCCCAAAGTGTCCCGTAATTATCGCAAAAGGCAAATGTTAAGCACTCGGCTTTAATTCAAATCGCTTTAATTGCTCTACAAAATGGCCATCAGGGTGGAAGCCGCAACTGAAGCCAAAGGGAATTCCCCATTCCGCATTAGAAACAATGTGCAAAAGTTGGTAACAAAGCGCCAACTGAGGCATCTCCTGGCTTCCTTATGCGCCACACAACCAACACCTGCTCGCACACACACACACACACACTGCACACACCCATATGCAGATGAGCTCTCGGGCATACATACGCCTGAAGAAAATGCGCAGAGAGAAAAAGTTGGGCAAGAGTTGGGCATAATGGCGTAGAATGGGAAGTGCATTTGTGGTTAGCTTTGGCTGGCTGCTCCTCCGTCTCCAATGATTCCTTCTCTGCTGCTGCTGCTGCTGCTGCTGTGCAACGCCCCACAACTTGTCCTTGCTGTCTCTCATTGCTTTGTCTTTTGCCGTTTGGGTGGAACCAACAACTTGTGCATATGCCACGCCACATCCTGTCCGTATAAGTGTGCGTTAAGCGGTTACATTGTTGTGCTTTCTCTTCTCTGATCTTCTCTGTGTGGTTTTTGTGCTCATTGTTACTGCCACTGCCACTGCCTGATGCTTTTCTTGCTCGGTTTTAATAACTGTAAGTACGCTACTTCCTGTGACAACAGACCGGCAACAAGAAAATGTAATTGTTGCACATGCCTGGGCATTTTGCAAGGATATTACACGCCGGCACACAGACAGGCTGAATGGCATAATGCCCGGCAAGAGGATGGCCAAATGGATAATGGATACATTTAATCGGATTTCGTCATAACTCAATGCCAGTCACCGCAGACACAGCAGATACATTTGCATTGCATTCGCATTAAATCGAATACGAAACTCAACTTTAATCCTATGACCGACAGAAGTCGATTCAATATTCCAGCCAGTGTGGAGCATCTCGAGTCGAGTGTCTCTCTCTATTGGCTCGAGCCACTTGTGTAAATGGCTTTTCCCTTATTTTGCTCGCTTCTTAACATATTTCCCCAGCATTCTATAGTTGTTTTTGTTCTTGCTGTGGTTGCCTTTTATGACTTTCAGCATTTGCCTAATAGAGGTTTTTGTGCGGCTGCAATGCGGTCTGAATGCAATTCCAACGCCCCCGCCACAGCCACAAAGCTTTTGGTAATTTTCCACCATCCACTTCACGGTGGATGCAGCTGGTGTGTGTGTGTGTATGTGTGTGCACTTTGGACTCATCGAAGCTTGGGTCCTGGTGTGGTTTCGGTTCGTTGTTGTCTCTGGAGCGGCAGCACTCTGGAAATTTGCCTAGCAGCGCCACAAAAAAAAATAAGGAAGAAGAAAAAAAAAACAATTAATTGTCTTTTGCTATGCACACACACACACACACACACACACACACACACACCTACAATGACAAGAGCCAAAGAGCAAAGCACACAAACACACATGGGAGGGAGTACATTTAAGCACATAAAGCACACAAACACACACACACAGACATACACACGAGGAGCACTCGCACTCGCACAGGCACTCGCATAGGCACTCGAAGCACGTAGAGAAGTCGCTGGCTGTCGTTGACTTTATTTTCGACTCTCGTACTCGCACTCGCACTCGCTCCTCTGCTCGCACTCACCCAACAAAAGCTCCACGGTTCCATCCATCCCGTCATCGGTTTTAAAGATTTTCTATGCAGGCCATTGTCTGAGCCAGGTCTGGGAAATGAGAGTGGAGGAGTGGGGTGAGTGGGATGCTGCTCCAACTTGCACTTAACACAATTTCGTGGCACACAAAAGACTTTCGCTGCGGCACACGGCACAAGCCAAGCCAAGCCACCCAACCACCGTAGCACACCGCACACCGCACCACACCGCACCCACTGCCCCAATTTAACCCAAGCCAACCCAACACCCCACTCTGGTTTTTTTTGGGTAAACTTTTTTTTTTGTTTTTGGCGAATTACGCGCCGCTTTTGTTGCCTCTTCAAAGCGTGTGGAACGAGCGCGTGCAACGCCTCGGGCGGTGCCACGTGGCATAAATTAATCTCCACACTAAATTTGCCATCTTCTTTCTCCCCCATCACGCTCTGTTCCCACCCCCTTAACTCTTGCTTCCGTCTATCCATACATCCATACCCGCATCGAACGCAATCGCAATCGCCATCCACTGCAGCTCTTTGGGCCTGGTGGCACGAAGCTGGACGAGGACTATGACGATCCGCCGGTGACACTGTTGCGTGGCCCGCCAGGACCGCCTGGGCTGGCTGGCAAGGATGGACGCGACGGACGCGATGGCAGCAAGGGCGATGCCGGCGAGCCCGGCGAACCTGGTTCCTTGGGGCCACGCGGCTTGGACGGCCTGCCTGGGGAGCCCGGCATAGAGGGGCCGCCAGGTCTGCCCGGATATCAGGGGCCGCCTGGGGAGAAGGGCGATCGCGGGGACATTGGGCCGCCAGGATTGATGGGGCCACCGGGTCTACCTGGCCCACCTGGCTATCCTGGCGTCAAAGGCGACAAAGGGGATCGTGGCGATTCGGTGAGTACTTCAAGTGCGCTGCTAATGAATCCACAGCTCAAGGATATCGTTCGATTTCAGTACCGTAAGATGCGTCGTCGCCAGGATGACGGCATGGCCGATGCCCCACACATGCCCACCATCGAATACGTAAGCCACCACCGAAAATGATTAAGTGCCAAGTGATTTGATTTGATTTCTTTTCCCAGTTGTATGGCCCACCGGGACCGCCCGGCCCCATGGGCCCGCCAGGACACACAGGCGCCCAAGGCGACCGCGGCTTGGATGGACGCAAAGGGGATTCGGTAAGAGTCCTTAAAACATAGTCAAAACCAACGCCCAAACATAAATTTCTAACCAACACTCTACTCTCCACTCTCCTCTCCCTCTCTCTGTGTTGCAGGGCGAGAAGGGCCACAAGGGTGATCAGGGGCCCATGGGGCTGCCGGTAAGTAGCGGAAATTCAAGGGAATAGAATATATTTTGTCAGTCTAGTATGTACTCGTATTTATGATTTCATTTTGGTTACTTTCAGGGCCCGATGGGTATGAGAGGAGAATCCGGGCCCTCCGGTCCGGCGGGCAAGGCTGGCATACCGGTAAATTTTTATAATTGAATTGAACTTTATTTGCGCTCATTGGAAAAAACCTTATTGTTTGTTTGGCTTTTAATTTGTAATTTGGAATTATTCGTACTGGTATCAACATTTTTGGCATTAATCTCCCACACTAATATTTATGGCTTTTGTTACATTTTTGCTATTTTACTGGGTCTCGTGACTAAACACCTGTCTAACCTTTTTGTGTGTTCTCATCTCTTTTTTCTACTTGGAACAGGTGTGGGGCGACTACTAATACCATTTAAATGTGCAGGCAGAGTCTATTAAACAATAACCAAACAACAGCAACACACACAACACAGACATTGCGCCAAAAGTCTAAATAAAATGCGATAGAAGAGAAAAAAATTCCTACACGCACACGCACACTTACACACAAACACAAACACATACACATATATAGAAACAGAAAGTCCTGACGCAACACTCATACATATGATGAAATGAAAACAATTTTAATCAAAGCAAAACAAATGTTCAAAGTTAAAAAGCCGCCGCGCAACGCTTGTCAAATGTGCTCTCAGTTGTCGTCTATACATATATGTATACCAGGCATATATATAAATATATATACGTGTATTGTATCAAGTTGTAAAAACACGCACCCATGTACAGAGAATTGAAATTGAATTGAATTGAAATAGCAGCATGTCAGTACCAATTGCACACCTGCCCTGGCCTGGCCCTGGCCCTGGCTCTGGTCCCGGCCCTTGGCATTTGCATGAAAGAAAAAATTAATATTAGTATTCATATCATTTTAAAAAAAAAAACCCAATCCCCAAGAGTCTAATAAGTATTTATGTATACAAGCAAATGAAGCAAACGAAACAGAAACAGATGGATGGACAGACAGACAGACAGACATATGTGGGTCTGCAGAGTCATATGTATTTACACGCACACACAAACATCCATCAATTGGAATCAAATAACAAACTTTCAACCTGCCACACACACACACAAACACACACACACACACACACACACAAAAACAGACAGCAAACCAACTAACAAATATGCAATGCAAATATTTTAATTGCATTTCATTTGCCACTGCTCTGTGAGAAGCGAGATTGCAGCAGGAGCAGCAGCAACAGCAAACAGCAGCAACAGCAGCAGGAGCGAGTAAAGCGGGAAAGCCTCTTGAAAATGCATAAATCATACGCACCGTTGTACGTGAAAACAGGCAGCGCGCAAACGGCACACACAGGGGATTCCGATCCGCTGGCAGTTTCAAGGGCTTCCACGGGTGCGAATGACTAATTGATAGATTATACTTCAAACCAATCTCAAGCGTTGCCAATCGTTGCATTAAGTGACTTAATTAGTTACCTAATTAGATTGTGTGAAGGACTGGATGGATGACTCCGGTTTCTGCCTCTGCTTCTGCTCCTGCTCCTGCTGCATTGTCTTAGGTGCCGTCCATTGGCTTTGTCTGAATACTCGAATACGAATAGTTCTCATTCATACAAAGCATATTTGCCAAAGCTTCCATGCGAAGAATTCAACAGCAAAAAGTCAAGAGCAACAAGCAGCAACAATATCTGCACGCAAATGAATATAAATACAAATACAATATGCATACACACATGTATGTATGTATGGATAAATGATAAATGTTTGTGTACTCCCCAAACCGAAAGAATAAAGCAGAAATTGTAAGATATTTTGATCCAGTTTAAGCTCTCAATGTTTTACAATTGTAATATGCATACAGTTTGCATACTTATACAAAACAAATATACAACATAAACTTGCACTAAAAGAGATATATATATATATATATACATACAACTGAATGTAATCGTACTATTTCCCTTAGAAACACACAAAGAAAACCAAACAAAACACAAAGAGCTATCCAATTCAATTGTGCATATTTTTCAGTGTTAACTCTTTAAATATTCTTAGAAGCAACCGAAACTAGTTAGGTTAAAGTTGAATGCAATTGGATATAGTTGCCAGAGCAAATTCCCGCAGAGCAGCAGGGAGCTCTGGGGAGCTGCGAAATATCAAACAATAAATACATAATCCCACTATGTATCCTATTGGTTTCATCGAACATCTCAACTAAAGTAACGCAAACATAATTCTATATATGTATGTTTATGTATATGGTATATGGTGTATGGGTGTATGGTATATGTAAAGGCAAAATGATGGCATAAATTTACATTTATCTGTAGCATTTTCAATTTTCAATGTTCAAACTATGCAAAGGAAAGGAAAGGACAAATAAAAATCATCCCCAAAAGTGAAACATAATCAATGCAAATGAAACAATACAATGCAAATGATGATAAAAGTATGTATGTATGTATGTATATTCTGCCATTCGAGAGCAGTACAGCCTCGGCCCTGGCCCCGCCCACACCCACAATTCAATGGGAAATTATTGAATATGCAAATGAGAAATGGAAAATGGCAAATGTTTGCAGCTTTAAAAAACGTACACCAACTGCAAACGGCATCGAAAATCACAATGAATATGTCAATTTGTTTTCAATTAGATGTGTCTCTCCTCTCGTTGTCTCGTATTAATCCCCGAGTGGAAAATAGCACACAAAAAATAAAATAAAATACAATTTGCATGTCAATTTTCATTTAGTCCAGTGAAAAGTCAAAGAACCTTGCCACGTGTACATACAGCTGATGATGATAACACTTAAGCTTAACCATAATTAATTAATTAATTTCCAACTGTTTACTTGCCATTTTACTCTCTCTCTCTCTCTCTCTCACTATACACCTCAAAATACTCACGCTGAATACTCTAGAATATAGATCCTTACTTTCTCTTTCTTACCTAACTTTAAACTCAACTCCACTCCACTCCCCCCCACTCTCTCTTCTTCGATCCATAGGCTAGAATAATGAATTGTGTGTGTTTTCGCGATTAAATTATAATACTTACCCAACTATTGTATAATTAATTAAAGAGAAAAATAAAGAGGCCACGCCAATGCCCCTAATAAGCAGCTAACAATAATTGTAAGTGTAAATTTGTTAATTAAATTACATACTAAACGAGAAAAGTTTGCAAACGACAAAATAAAACTTAAAAAAAAAGTAATATATATATACATACATATATGTATGAAATATAAATTGATGTGTATTTATGTCTATATACTTACATATGTACATTGTACACGCATATACATACATACTAAATGTCGATGTGCGAATGCATTAATGCCATCACAAAGCACGAAATGCAATATTTTTTATCCATGCTGCTGTGTGCATTCCAAATGTATTGTATGATTCGATTCGATTCGATTCAAGCAAATAAATCCATCCCATTGCTAATTATTTGCCAGAGCATGGTGTGTGTGCAAATATTGAGAAGGCAAACAAGGCGACGGCTAAATGAAACTAACATAATTTTCGTTTTAATAATGCATTTTTCAATAAAGTGATGGTTTTTTACTAAACAACAAAAAAAGGAAATTAATTGCATAACGCCTTTAAAAATTACACAAAATATTCGTACTCGTATTTGTCCATCGGCAGGCAGAATTTCCCCCCCCACATTTCGCACTGCTTTACTAATTACACGCTCTATCCATTCTCTCTCTTTCACTCGCTGCAGGGTCCACCTGGCTTGGATGGCATGAAGGTATTTTCCATTAGGCCGCACTGAAAGGCTGTTCCACATATGTATATGTTTTGGGTATAACCGATCTGCCTTTGTTGTATTCGCAGGGTGCCCAGGGCGAGACGGGACACAAGGGAGAGCGAGGCGATCCGGGACTGCCGGTAAGCACGCAGCAGCATCGTCTGTAACATTCAGCATCATCCTGTTGGCTGAAACAGAACCGAACCGAACAGAACATTTCACTGTATATGTTATCTACTTTATGTGGTTGCTAATTTCAATAATTTGTGTCTTCTTTTCTTCTTTTTCTCACTGTTTTTATCTCTGTTTGCATGCAAATCTCTTTCTGTTGGCGTAATACACTGTCTTTGCAACACTCTTTGACCCCAAAAACCACCACACCACCACACCCCCACACACACACACCCCACTCTATCCACTTTGGCACACACACACTTTTGTGTACAATGAAACAAAAGGGCACCGACGGCATACCCGGCCAGGAAGGTCCGCGCGGGGAGCAGGGCTCACGTGGGGATGCTGGCCCGCCCGGGAAACGGGGACGCAAAGGAGATCGCGGCGACAAGGGCGAACAGGGCGTGCCTGGACTGGACGCACCGTGCCCCCTCGGCGCCGATGGGCTGCCGTTGCCCGGCTGTGGCTGGCGGCCGCCAAAGGTTAGCATGTGATTCGTAACACACACAAAAAGCTCTCAGCCCAACCAAACGCTCCCTCCCCTCCCTCAATTGGCTAACCAAAAGTTCATCATTGAAATTACGCATGCACCAGTCCTAGATCCCAGATCCTAGCTCCTAGCTCCCAGCTCCTCTAGCCCTATGTATTTGTACTCGTATGTATCTTTTTGTCTAACTTGGTTAACTAACTTTTGCTTTTGCACACACACACACACACACACCACTAATACACTTGCGAACGCGTACGAACACCCGAACTATCCGACACTCCACTGTCGCCACCCACGCCACCCACTAAAACGTGCACCGGATGTGAAATGCGGAATGGGTCGTCGTCGCTGCCGCCCGTAGGAGCCAATCATCTCAACGCCCGTGCACAAGGATTATTTGCCCGATGTAACGCAGCCGGAAAGCAACGCCAGCGATTACGAGCAGGAGGAGGAGGAGGACGGAGCAGGCGGAGGCGGAGGATAATGAAAACGAATATGATGAATATCAGGATAATTTGCATAACAATGAGTGAAAAGGAAACAGGCAGACAACCGACCCAGAAAATGGCAAACACAAACACAAACATACCAAAGCAAACAAACAGACCCGCTCTCTGAGACACACACACACCCACACACACACACACAAAATCCACTTACACTTCCACTTGAAACACACACTTAAACCCACACACTCGCGCACACACTCACGCACACTGACACAGGCACAGTCACAGACACAGAGCAATGGCAATGGCGACTAGTTAAGCATTTCCGATTTCCGCTGCGAGCGAGCTTTGGTTCTGTTTCGCTCTGTTGACATTTGCAATTAGCGTTAACAAATGCCAAGTGGCTGGCTAGCGCTGGCTGGCTGGCTGGCCTGCTGGCTGCCGCTGCGTCTAACGGTTCGCTAAAGTAGATGCCATTAGCATACACTCGACCGCTCCAGCTCACCCTCACTATCTCTCTCTCTCTCCCACACTCACTCCCATCAATTACCCTTTCGCCTGAACACAGATACACAAACACTATCGTAGTAGTAACACTTAGCTTGGCTTTTGCTTGGTGATGGGTCCTGGTAATGCGTGCCGCTTATTTGTCTTTTCTGATTCCTTATCCAACTGTGGCCATTTTTGGTTAACCATCTGTTTTGACCTCCCCCATCCACCAGCAGGAGAACTGGCAGGCCTGGCTCAAGGACGAGCTGAATGCGCTGCAGCATACGCAAACAAAAAACTAATCGACAGTACCAGTCCCCATGCGGCAGCTGCATCGAAGGCGTGGTCGAGCCACCGCAATATCCATACGAAGAATCTAAGCGCTTTGCTCCTAATTTTAGTAATTTGTTATTGTTAAATGTAGAAATCAAATCGAATCGAACAAAAAGCTCTAGCAATGCTACCTACATCCCCACACACTCTGTACTGTACTGTATACTGTATCCATCTATAACTATATCCTGTATCTTGCATCCTGCATCTGTGCCAAATTGCTCCAAAGTTGCAACCAGTTCGGTTCCCAGCTCCATGACGTCGCTCTAGGCACTCATTGAACAAACAGCAACATTTAGTTCTAGATTTAATGTACCTCTAAATATGCGAGTACGAGTATAAATTGTATCTACTACATCTACATCTACGTCTAGGAGTATTTCTACGGCAATAAGCAAACCGGAAGGAACCCCAGCTATTTTTTACAGAAACTATTTAAAAACAAAAACTTAAATAAAAATCGAGAAAAGTTAAATGCATTTTAGCTGCACTTGGGCTGCTGGCTGGCTGGTTGGGGGTAATGGATTCAGTTGAGTAATTACTTTTGGAAACTTTCATTTTTATTACTCTTTGAGCAGCTTAAGGTGCTTAACGTATTTATGAACGCTTTCCTTCACATATGGCTTCAATGCGATGCAGGTGGCGATGTTCTCCGGCTGCTCAATCCACAGTTTGTGTTTTATTTCATGCTCCTTCAACTTTTCGCCGAGTTTCATCAGTGCCGCCTCGTCCTTGGCCTGTGGGGCAGGGGATTGGAATACTTTGATTACCGCCTGTCTGTCAGCCAATGTAAATGAGCGGAATACGAACCTCCAGCACAACTTTGTGCATGTTGTCCAGATCGTTCAGATACGCCACCGTGTCGGCATCTTCAGCGTTCAAATGCATCACGGCTGCCGTGGCATGGCAGCACTGTGCAATAATGGCGCCCAAGGGCCAATTGAGCGCCGAACGCAGGTCACTCCGCACCACAACGTATTGCACGATATTACTCATAGTTTGTGGATATTTTCAATGTTTATTTCGTACAAAACTAAAACGCGGGCGGGCAAACAGCTGTTGGAATAGTGCTGCCACACTGTTTGACTGCGAGAGTGCTGCCAGACCCAAAGAAAACCCAAATGTGCCAAGGCACACGATAAGTGCTACCCATCATTTTAGTTGGAATTTGAAAATGAGCGCCATGTGCGCTTAGTTCGGCAAACCAACACGACTGATGTGGCGCTACTGTCGTGTTTTTTTGTTACATCTGGAATGTAAAAATCATGTAGAAATGGCTGGCACCAAAAGGACTGGGAGCATAATTAGATCTTCATTTAACAGATCGCTGTTAAAACATACAGCGATCTTTTAATCTTTTAGCTTTTAATGAAGTGAAGCACCTTGGCTTGGAATGCGCACAGGATGTGTGTTCCAATGTACAGAATCAACTGGAGTCGCTACTCTGTACCACCGATTAAATTCAAAATTATTCTAATCTTGCTTTAAGGGACGAATTTCTGGAAGCAGCAAACCCTGTCATTATGGCCCATTAGCGAATGGAACGCTGATAACATGGCTAATCCACACAACTTGGCTGCCACTCACGCCGATGGCGTCCGCAATTTAAGTGCTGCCTGCATGCAGTTGCATAAATTACGATGTTCCCTCCCCCTGGGAGCCTGGGCGCTTTCCATACAGACACTGTCCACTGTTCAGACCGGACTACTGACTGGATTTAAATATTCATAAATTGCTGGCCAACCTTAGATCTTATCTGGGCGGCTGCTGCTCCTCCGCCCCAATCGACACAGGGCAATCCAGGCAAGGGGAGTGGCAAGGGGAACGGCAACAAGTGAAAGATACGAATGCGTAGATATTTTGATTTTATTATTGTAATTTCTTGGAACACTTTACATTTACAATTTAGATTTAAATTTAAATTTATGCGCCACAGATGCGAGGCGATAAACGACGACTACACACACATAAACAATTTGACAGTTTAATTGATTTAATTGATGCACCACACAGATACGGGGCAGGGCAGGGATCCGTGTGGATCCCTGTTGTCGCTCGTACTGGTAAGTATTTGATATCATTGCAAAGATATAGTCGTAGTTCGTAAAGGTACAGTACATATATGTATGTTTTAAATGTTTAGTGATTTACTGTTCACGTGCCTTGCTCGTTGGCACTTTTGCATATGCGCCTAGGATCGGTATATAAAGTATAAATAGACAGATTAGATTACTCTACTAAATTAGAACATTTATTTTGGGCAAAACTTGAGATACTTGGAGAGAAAACAACACTCAACTAACTGCGTAACAACGACGGAGCAACGGAGCATCAAAGTGCGCGAATCGAGATCCAAATTGAAGTCGAATTTGACATTGTCTTCCTGCTCCTGCGAGTATCAATTAACGTTTACATATATTAGATATTTTTGTTTGTTTCATTATAATTTCACTTGTTGCATTCATCATTCATCAGTGTTGGCCATGACCAGTGGGCTCCTGAGGCTGGGTCTCGGTCTCGGTCTCCGTCTCGGTCTCTGGATTTTGAAGTGGCCTAAAAGTTGGTCTTGCCAAAGATGAAGTTGCCTGGCGCATTGATGTCCTCGGCGGCAAAGTACTCCTTCCACAAGGCGGCAAACTGCTCGCGAGTGACGTCGGTCTGGCCCTGGGCCATCTTGCTGAAGGCCTCCTCGCACTCGTTCTTCTCCAGGCCATAGCTGGAGCAGACCAGCGTGAATTCGGTGACATCGATGCCGCCATCATGGGAGGCATCCTCCAGATCGAACATGAAGTTCATGTAGGCATTCTGCCAGTCCATCACGCTGCTCGGATCCTTGGCGTAGGCGTCCCACATGTTGCACCACTCGTCCACGCTGACCTGAGGAAGAGGAATGCGGATGAGGATGAGAGAGGCGGCGGGTAATGGATGAGCGACAAGACGAGTCAAGATTAAGAGCGTCAGATTTATGCGTCCCGCCCAGTGCTGAAAAGCCCATTAGCTAGTCCAGCCGCAGGCGGAGCTGCGGAGGTACATAAAACAACCATTCCATTGCCTATTAAACGCGTTATGGCTGGTCGGGCGACTAGTGTGGTGGTCGTTGGGGTTGGGTAGCCACTAGGGGGTGTAATTTATGCGCTGTGGACGGGCATCTAGCGATGCGTTATTAACATTTTCTGGCTGCCAATACCAAACAACGGCAATTACCGCAACATCGACCATCGACGCCTTGACCAACTTGGCAGCAGTTCTCCTGCGACTGCAGTCCTACGCCCATGCCCCCCACCCACCCCACCATTAATTGCGGTATCTTCGACAAAGCCAAAGCAGCCGCTACGTTTTAGCATGTTTTAATACGGCCATAAATAAGGAGACACAGACATTGTGGGCAGCCAGAACCACAGCCAAAGAGAACTCTAAACAGCAATCGAACTGGCTGCATATTTTTATGTTTATTGCCCATCCAGCTACTTGACCCTGTGTCTTGCAGGGTATAAGCCAAAGCAAAGAGGGTGGCTGGTTTTTTGGGTGGTGCGTGAGCATCTTCAATCCTTAGTAAGTATATTTTCCAGCTAATTTGAGGGCACATTCCGATTCGCATTCACATTCCCCCCGTGTCACGGCACGGCACGTGCTCGACTTTAGTTTGTTGGAGGAAGGAGAACAATAAATCTTAAGCCGCATAAGTCTGTGTGACTCACAAAGGACACCAACAATTGTTTGGGCTCTCCCTCTCTCTCTCTCTCTGGGCCATATTTGGGCAGCAAAACTCCGTCAAGTTCCTTGGCCAGTGGCCAAAACTTTTGCGGCTTTGTTGCATTTGAAGTTGCGCCGCTACCTCATTGGGTCGCACCGAGTCGAGTTTAGTTGAGCACAAAATATCCGTAACCCGTAGCCCGCTTCAATAGAACTAAGCCGAGGTTTTGTTGGTCTGACATTTCAATTTCTGTTCGCTTTGTACGTATCGCATTGCGTTGGTTGTTGCGGCGGCTTTGGTTGCACGATGCTGATTCAGCGGGTGGGGCGGAGAGCAATGGGCGGTATTCGAGGCTGGATTATAATTTAATTTGCTGCACTCTCTGTACGATTATGGCATATCCATTGTGCCAAAGGGAAACTTGTGCCAATTTCTCGAGTCCCCCGTAACCCCACCGCACAGCCAGTGACAAAGTTTGTCTTCGTAATGAGAATGTGGCAACCAGGAAAACTAAGTGAACTAAAGTCTTCGGCAGTCTCCGGAATTGAGATTGCAGTTCTCAAATAATTCACAATTCAATTTCCGCTTGTTGGCAGGGAATTTGTTTACCACCCATCCCCCTCCTCTTGCCACATTCCGTACCAATAAAAAAATAAAATTTATGAACAAATTTTTTTATCTTCGTTTTTTTCCGTGTGTCTGTCAGACAATGCAAAAAGCGGACGAAATTTGTAATGTGCTGGCCTCTACATGCATATATATGTATGTATTTGTGTCTGTGTCTGCATCTGTGTGTGTGTGTGTGTGTGTGTAGGTGCTTGGACACTTGTCAACTGCTGTCACAATGGCACCGAGAGCAGTCCATGGATTTCAGCACTTTGGGCGCTGACAATGAAGCCAGAGCAGAGGCATTCAACAAAAACCCAGCAGCAACAACAGCAGCACCTCGACACCCCCACCCCTGGCACCAGCTGCAGCCCCCAATTCAATCCAAATCCAGGCCACTTGACATGCAGTTGCCACACGAAATTTACGACACAAGAGAGAACGGGCTGCTCACCTGTCCATCGTTATCCTTGTCCGCCTTCGATCGCAGACCAGTCCAAATTTCCATCATCAAGTCGTAGGTCTCCTTGTTCTTTGGCGTGTCCTTAGCCCAGCCGCGCAGCTTGCAAACGCGCTGCAAATGGACAGAAAGCAAAAAACAATAACCGTCCGTCAGCACGCGTTCCCAAATTGAGTTATCAGCTAAGCGAAAAGGGGGTCGGGAAGGGGGGGAAGGGAAACTGCATGCAAATCAACAAAAAACATTTGGCCAATGCGAGCATTGTTTTTTGTGCTCGCTCTCTTGCGATTGCTTTTGCCCATTGTTGTTTTTGGGCTGAGGTGCTCCCTCCCGAGCTGATGTAAGTGCTCCGCACTCCACACTCGTCTCGCATTTATTTGCTGCATTCGGGCCGAATTTTTCGCAGAGTTTGCAAGCATTTTTCCAAAAAATTTATTCAAATTTTTTTGGGTCTGTTTTTTTTGTTGTTTTTGTTTGTTTTATTGGTATAGTTTCCGGTCTGGCTCGGCAGCTCCGCTCCACTTACCTCGATGGCCATTTCGAAGTCCTTTACGTCGATTTCCCCGCTTTGGTTCACATCTGTTTCGAGGGGTGGTATCGTCCGTTCGCATTGTTGGTGTTTTTCGGGCAATTCAGTTGAATGCAGCGAGCGTAAAGTTCGTGGATGTAGATGTAGTCCCGCATTGTTTGGTTTTGCCGCCCAAAAGAGAGAAAGAACAGAGAACAGAGCCGAAACAGAGCGATGAACAATATGAGCTGGCTAAACGGATTTCATGGCAAGCCGTGGCAAGCGGCATCCACCGCACAGCTGTGACAATGTTCCGGCCCACGAGAGTGTGGACAACGCTCCATCGGCCGAAACATCAACACAATTGCACGGCCACCTTCCTCTTTCTTCCTTCCATCCTGACTGCCGCCACTTCCCGTTCTCCCGCCATCCCATCCCATCCCACCCAATCCCACCTCTCCCACACTCTATAAACATTTGGCTTTTGGCCATGCGGGCCTGTCATTATCATTTGCAACGGTGTGCAAACGGCCACTTCAATTTCAGTGTCAAGTGTTTGGCGCTTGCGTTTTATGACTCTTTTCGGTTCTTTTTTTTGTGTGTGTTTACCACCTCCCCTTGCCACCCTGAGCTATTTGTTATTTCCGGACCAGCTGCTGTCAATGGCGGGGCGGGCAACGAGCCAAGCAGAAGGACGTTTGCATTGTCGCGGTGTGCCAGGATAAGCCAGTCACAGGCACCAGCGCCGAAGGTAAATTAGTCATAATTGAAAAGCACTTAACTTAACCTATAGCCACAGTCACTGCGGTTGCAGTGTTGCCCAGTTGCCCAGTTGCACTCCTCGAAAGTTTTCTTTTCTCCCTTTTTTTGTTTGTTTGACATTTACATGCGTTTTAATTTAATTTTAAATTTGGCAAGAGTTTTGTTTGACTTCTGCAAGGCATTGAAAACGGAATAGAGTGGAATGCACTTGGCGGCACTCAAATGGAATTCATGTTCGGGTCATATTACGTATACGCGACGAGGACTGTTCGTCTTGTCTGCTTGCCAAAATCCAAAGAAGATGTCGCCGAAATGGAATGGCATGCTAATATATGTCATTCGTATTATGAGTGTGTGTGTGTGTCACAAACGGATAATAACTGAAATGCTTTTCCCATTTCCTACTCCTGACAGCAGTCGACTTGTGTGTGTGTGTGCGTGTGTGATTTAACAATCCCCCATTAAACAACTCTCAAACAAATCGAGTGCAATCTAATCAAAGTTTTCTGTGTGATACGCAAGCGAAATATTTCTCCATTCTCTTTGGCCAAACACCAATACACTGAAACTGACATCGATTGCGGTGGTTTGTCTTCAGGAACTTCGCTCTGCTATGCTATGCTGGCGGGGCCATGGCCATTCATCATTCTGGCACGCATACGAGCGACCGACCCTTGCTTGTACTCACCAAAGAACACGTTGAACAGGAACAGCAGCTTCTTTTTGCGAAAATCGGAGATCGACATTGTGATGGCTGTTGTTGTTGTTGTTGTTGCTGCGGCGTCTGCTGTTCAATTGCTGTTTTATTTGTGCAGTTTTATTGGCTGTACCCTGCTGTGGCTGTTGCTGATGCTGCTGCTTGCTCGCTAAACGGAAACGGGAAACTGCAACGACAACAATACAAGAACATAAAATAGAAATACTCAATTATGTTGTGGGAGCCCAGGGGCAGGGCAGGGCAGGTCAGAGCCAGGCAGAACTTGGCAAATAGTATTAAAATTGGAAAATGAAGTGTATCTCGTAACGAGACAGCTTTCGAATTTAAAGCGCTCTCTCAATTAGGGGCTGTGGCCATGCCAAGGAAGAGGTCGGATCGTAAAATTAACATTCATGGCCAGGAGCAAGCTGGGAAAGAGCCAAACTCAGTACCAAAACCAGAGCCAGACCCACAGCCAGAACCACAGCCAGAACGGATTGGGTGTGCTCTAGTTGACTGGCTTAGTTTATGGGAACTAATTCAGCCAAAAAGGAAATAAAACAAGACTGTCTAAGAAGGCAACAAAAAGAAGAGCTTCGCGTAATGCAAATGCATCCTGGCGATGGAGCGAGGTGGGGTGGGTTTTGAGCCAAATGTGACACAAATGCAGGCAATGGCTTTGGCTGAACTGCCACTGCCGCTGCCGCTGCCTGCCTCTTGCTTTCTTTGTGTGTGCGAGCTGCTTGGCTCATTTAACCTTCAATCAAAAGCACACCGAGGGCAGGGCGGCCACAGGGGAAAGTTGAGCGGAAGCAGGCGGGCGGGTAGGCAGAGGCAGGGGCAGGGGCCATGTGCTAAATTAAACAAAACTACGAGTATACGAGCATACGAGTACGCTGGGATATACTGGCATCAGGCATTTACTGGCATCAGGTTGCCGAGCCATGAGCCATGAGCCATGAGCCATCCGCAGCAAATCATCAAAAGGCATGGTCATTGCCATATTCCTCTGAAAGGCTTCGTGTTTGCTTAACTGCCATTAAGCGGCACTGATGGGCGGGGCGTGGTAGGTGGGGGGCGTGGTCAGGAGCCATCGCAATATTTACTTTAGTTTTACTTTCGGGGTACCAGTGGCTCTCATCTGCCTGCCAATTTATTCATCTCGTCTGGGCTGGGCTGGGCTGCGCTCTGAGCGGCTAAAGCAGTCAAAGCATAATTCCACAACAGAAGGAAATTGCAGCAGCAGCAGCAGGGCTGTCGAGTGGAATGCAATGAACATGACAACGAGACAACGACAACGACAACTACAAAACCGTTGGTCCAAACCAAACCAAGCAATGCCGATGGCTGATGGCTGATGGAACCGGCGGCACTAAAAGCAAAGCATTCGTGCAATTTGCAATGTGCTTGTGCTTGCCCGTTTGTTTTTGCTTTGTTTTGTTTTAGAAAATGCACTTTGCCTTGGAAATAAAATTAAATGGAATATCTCCGTAGTCACAAATTTGATATGCTCATGAGCGTAAAATGGAAAGAGCGCCAACAACCGTTACCAGCGAACAGAAGGATGCTCCTGGTCAGCTGCAGGTCTCACCTTTCACCTCTAACTAAAGCCAATATTTGTTGTTATCATTGGGGAATTGGCTCGGAAAAGGCAATGAGCTTAGCAGCAAACGATGCTGCAGAGTGGCCATCATGGGCTGTTGACTTATCGCTTATAGACAGACCATCAAGATACGGCTTAGTGCTGTTAAGCGGGCTGTAAGTTTTCACTTTGTGTACTTGGGTGGAAGAAGGTTGCAAAGTGTTTGATTTGAAGTTAAAAATGCAACACAAGCTAATCTGAAGGTCGATTGGAACATAGGTTTCGCGAACATTGCCCATAAAGATTACAAAACTAATTACAAAATAGAAATAAAGCTTAAATTAGCATTCAAGTGACACAATCGGGGAATGATTTAAGCCGGCAAACAAAAATTCCCCTGACACACGGAATAAATGTGCACAGTATTTTCGTAAAGAATAAATAATCGACCGATAATGAGATGCATTAATAATGGAAATTGTATGAATATGCCACACAATGTTGCCTTTAGTGGCACCTTCACAATGCAGTCCGCACACACGCACAGGACTCTCTCACCCACAGCCACATCCGACTGTCACAGTTCATTAATTTTCTACGTGCGCGTCAATTAACATCAGGCGAAGAGCAATGAGGCAGGATTGAATAAAAAATATATACATATGTACATATGTATAGCCCGTGCATAAAAGTACAGATCTCGACTTACTAAAAGCCTGGCAAAAACACATCAGCAAAAATGTGAAATTCAATTTGGCGCGCTTTTCACTTTCAATTGCAATGCCTGGCGATTGGGCATTGCCTTTCGTTGTGCCTGTCGTTCGGGCTGTCAGCTGCCTCTGCCACGTGCTATAAGACCCTGCACGCCCTGCTCCACAGGACTTATCGTGGATGTAATTTAAGCCAATGAATCGACTTTAATTCGAAAGTGGAAAGCGCAAAATGCAGCGGAAATTTAAAGCCTTTCAATAGCCAGACGTGAGTATTGTTTATCTGCGAAATTAATAATTAAATGTGCGCACAAATTGAATTCGGCGGCAAGCAGATTACGCATACGGCCCGTGCCACCGATGTTTGCCGCTGTGGCATTTGCATTTACATATACATATATCGCAGCGATATCGAAGGTCTTTGTGAAGTTCCCGCTGGCCTCGTTCCCCAATAATTACCAATACTCATGCGCCAATGCATAAAAACCAAGCGCTGCCAGCCACAAATGGCGCCTGGCTTTCGTGGCAGGCCCGAGGCACGAGGCAACCACATTAACCAACATCGCTGAACGCTCGTTAATTAGTTTCTCTTTGAGTTTGGGCTTGTGTGTTCGGTTTCGGTCTCTTCGCGAGATGTCTTTCTAATAAACACAATATGGCAGAGCCTCACTTATTTTTAATGGGCCATCTCCGCATAAATATCCATCAGCGAGGTTATAAATTTCAATATGAGAACATAAACATTTTAATTGCTGCTTTAGTGGCCTGTCAGATATATGTATATGGAATGGGTGCCTTGATTTGATTCCGCAATTTATTGAGCAAATCGAATTAGAGAGCCAGCGAGCGAGCGGTGTTGAGGCGCAATTTAATTTGCATAAACCATAATTTGGTTTGCTCTGCAAAATCAGAACACACGACACACGACGAACAGGTGAAAAATTGGCAATAAATTATGAGGGATTGCCATTGAGTTGACAGTTGGATAACATCAAGTGCTGAAAAGTATGCTACGGCACAATCGAGCTGAGGGAATTGATCAATTTTCATACAAGTTGAAATTGTTTTGTTTGCTTCTCTGATTGCAATCGAATGTTCTTCCCACAGGGGAGAAGAGTTTTATTTTTTGCTCGAGATATATTTAAAATATTCGATTCAACATTGATTGACAGGCCTTCAGACAATCGGCAAACTTCAAGTTGCTTAATCCCCCAGTGCTGCCCCCAGTGACCAAATGACCCAATCGACAATCGCCAATCGCCAATAGCCAGTCTCTGTCTCAGTGCCAGCCCACGTTCAATTCCCAGTCCGGTCCGAGTGCCTTTTGATTGGCATGGACTCTTTCTCCGTTCCGCTCTGAGTGCGGCTGTGGCACAGTTTTTTCAACGGTCGCTAATTACTTTTGCGTTGCCGTAAATTTGCGCAGCCAATTTAAAATAATAGACAATGCGAGCGGCACTGTCGTTTGCTCTTTATCTGCTGATGCAGCTCCATGGGCGCACTGCAAACTGCAAACTGCAAAACGGAGCACAAGGTTCTGCTTTGTCCGTCCGAGTCCGAGTTGGGGACCGGGTCCGGCCTGCTAGTAATTTCGTGTAATTTGCATTAATTTACATTTAATTTACTCCACTGGGCCGCCACTGCAACAGAACAGCACAGCGAAAGAGAAGACAATGCGCGGCCTAAGGCCAGCGACGCATGCCTGGCAAAACAACAAGCGCACGGACAGGACGAGGATCCTTCGAGGGCGAATCTGTCTGCTGTTGGCACATTGCGCTATTATTTTTCTCTTCTCCCTCTGGGGCAAAAAACTTTATGGGAAACTTGTGGCCGACCAGAGCCCAGCACTTTCAAATGAATTCATTATGCCAGCGAAAAGGTGCAGAAGTATAAAATTTTCTTTTACTTGTCCAGGTCCGTGGCCGTGTCTGTGTCTGTGTCCGCCTCAGCCTTTACCGCCGTTACTGTTACCGTTACCGTTCCTTTAGAAACTATCTGCCCACTTAGCCAAGAGCAGAACTCAAGGAAAACTGGGCCTCTGGTTCCTGTTGAGCCATCACCCTCGCCCTCGCCCTCACCACCCCTCCTACCACTTGCTCTTATTCTTTGGGGCACTTGTGCTCGTTACTTTTGGCTTGTTCTTGTTCGCTTGTTCGCTTGTTCGCTTGTTCTTTTGTCGGTTTTGAAATGTGTGTTTTTCAAAAATTTTGCGGTTTTATTTTTTGTTTTTGTAACGGAAACTCTCAACACTCACAGAGGCACACACACACCACACACAGGCAACACCAGCACCAAAATCAACACCAAAAGCGATGCAGCTCCAACTGCACCTGCACCTGCACACACACACACACAATAAATGAGTCGAATGTTTCACTTTACCGTTAGGTCCTGGGTCTGGGTCTGACTGGCTTCAACTCTCTTGCTCTGGACTCTGAACTCTGGGCTCTGGGCTCGTGTGCTCGGCAACGCGGTTCGCCGTTCTGTGATGCTCGCTCGGGCCAAACCAACGGCTTTTATACTCGTAAGCGCCCGCCCAGCCAACAGCAGCAGTCCGTGTCCATGGCGTCGACGTCGACGCTGGCATCGCTGTTGCATCGAGAACTTCGTGGGCAGACGACGCGACGACGCGACGTCGCTACGTCGTCGTCGTCATCATAGTAGTAGTTAGCTCTGGGTGCTTTTTGTCATCGTGCGCTGCTTTATCTTATCGCAGCGTCGTCGCTGTCGCTGTCGCTGCCGGCGCTCTGGAGCGCTGCGAGTGTATCTGTGTGCAGTTTATTTTATATTCTTTTTTTTTTTTGGCCACCACGTGCACTGTTACGGCCTCAGCATCAGCATGCGGCATATTTGGTCATGGGTTTGTTTTCAGATTTAACACTCACAGAAAAGTTCCTGCTGAGAATTCTTGTAGATTTTGCTATGAAATGAAACTACAATGTAGTGGCTCCTTAACTAGATAAAGAGAGAGAGAGAGAGTAGCTAAATAATTGCACTTTCAGTCAGCCTGTCAGGCTGTTAAGTTGTATAAACTTAAGTCAAATTTATTGACTTGCTAAAAAATAGGCAACAAATATTTATTGATATTTTTATACAATTATGCGTTGTCTGTGTCTGTGAATGGGCCTACAATAATTGATTACTCCGAATAGTATTTGCTAGCTGCAGAATGATGATGAATGCTTTGATGGATGAAGAAATAAAAGAGTAGATTGATGGACATACGCTTTGCTGGAATTTCATTTGATTTAAAATTCTAACACTCAGCCACAAGTTAATACCATACAAGTACACCCCATTCCATTCCATTCAGCCACAAGTTAATACCATTCCAGTACACTCCATTCCTCTCCACCACTCCATTCCATTCCATTATTCCTCAAGCTAAAAACCCGTGTAGTACTTCAGGGCATACTGCATTCCAAAATGGCAGAGACACTTCTCGCAGTGCACCGCAGCATAACAAATCAAAAATGTGCAAATGTTCTGGACAAATTTTAAGCATAGCCTTGACACACAGACAATAAACATGCACACACAAACACACGAACATATGAATATGTATGGCTCTCTGTGCTTAAGTAAATTTTGCGGCAAGTACAGGATGCATCGGTGCCACTTGGCAGCATAATTTTTGGTAGCGCATTCAATCTTGTCGAAAAGTGTGGACCACCAACCGGCAGGCAGCAGGCAGGCAGCAGGCAGGCAGGCAGCGCCAAGAAAGAACATTTAAGCAGAGCAATTTCCCGCCTGTCTCTCTCGCTTTTAATTACACAAAACACACACACACAGGCACCCCAAACACACTCACACACACATACACGTGCACGCGGATGAGCTCATGTATTTCAGCTGTTAATTGTCAAGTTTTGGCTGAAATGTCGCTGCCAATTTATCAGGCGTCTCAAGACCAGTCCGCAGCCTGCAACCCGCAGCTCGGCTCTCCTGTCATGCCTCATGCCCATGCCCATGCCCATGCTGTGCCGTGTCGGCGTCGGCCCAGCAGGCGGTCGGTCGGTCGAGCACGGTCACTCGGTCAGAATGTTCCGATTCCATGTTGTTGCAGCTTCTGTTGGCGCTGCTGGCTGTGCTGCTGCCGCCTATTGCAGATGACCGTTTTACCAATGTTTCGTTCCAGTTGGGGCCATCCATATATCCTTGTGCGCTTCCTTCAGTGTGTGAGTGTGTACGGCTGCATGTGTGTGTGACGCGACGGTGCGTGTTGGAGTAGGCAAATGTTTAAATTTCTTTTTACCTGTTTGCATCTCAAGTGGCCAAAGGCGGTACCACACAGACACAGACACAGTCACACATCCTGCTTTCGCTCTCTGCTTTGGTGTGTGCGTGTTTGTGTGAGAGGAAACGGAAGCCGGCATTGACACAGTTTGAAATTTACATGGGCCCCAGCCCTGGCTGAAGACCAACTCAAATCTTGAATGCCTTCTAGCGTTTGGCCCCATTTCTCAGCGTTTAGCTGTCCACCTATTTCGTGTTGTTTTTTTTTCCCCCCTTCTCGTTTTACCATTTCTCCATGTCTCCCTCTTCATTTTTCTCTCCGCTCTTGGGCTGCCTCTGCCGCTGCCGCTGCCGCACAAGTGCTGCCACTAAGCGTTCCGTTGTGGCTCACACACGAGTGCCTGGGGACGGCAGGAGGGGTGGGGATGTACGAGTACACACGTTAACCTGGGCACGGCAACGGCGCATTATTTGATGGCAGGGCCCTCCCTGCCTCTGTCCATCCCACCCACCTACGCCACATCCCCCACGCCCAATACACCTGCCATGCCCCATCAACTGCCTACCAGCTGCAGCTGCTGCTGTTGCTGCTCCTTTGGCTCTCGCCTGGTGGTGGCCTTTTGTGCAGAGGACGTTCCGTGCCAGCCACACACACCCACCCACACACCTGCCTCGGCAATGGCAATGGCAACTTGATTAGACCAACATGAAATTAAGTAATTTTGCTGTATTGTTTAGTGTTTCTTCTCGGCAACAGCAACAGCAACGGCAACGGCAATGGCAATGGCAATGGCAGAAGCAACAACAGCCACCACAATGGCCAACGAGAACAATGCGAGTCTCGAGTCCCGAGTCTGGGCCAACTAGGAGAAGCGCACAAAGGAGAACAGAGAACCACCAAACAAACCGAAATTAATGAAAATATTTTTATCTCAGCTGCGAATGAGTCGCCGAATTCGGACACTTTCCCCGACGCTCCTTGGAGCTTAATAAATCATACGAGTGTATCTGCAACAGTACTAAATAATAATGGAAGAAGTTCTGGCATTAATTCTGAACATAAAACAGAACAGTGTAAAGGTCAATTGTATTTTAAATTGATGGAATGCATTCTTCTAAATGCTGTTTCCCTTCCCGCCAAATAAAAATTCTCTCTGCATGCCTCACACAAATCGTTTCACCCATTCGACCATCCTCTTCTGTTTGCATCTCATTTGGCATAATCAGCATAAGCGGTACAGAACGGAACGGTACGGAACACTTATGCCATGAATTCTCAAATCGCAGAAATGGCGAGCCAAACAATTAGAGGAAATTTCATATAATCCGCACCAAAATGAACTCGTTTTGAATTTAAATTCGCTTTGCCGAAAAACTGTGGTACCTACAATGCGTCGACCAGTTCTAATTTCCATATTTGCTTGCCCCTTGCGAGTGTATCCCTGGAAGAGACCAGCACCGACCAGAGCCAGAGCCAAAGCCAAAGCCAGAGCAGGAGCCACAGCCAGATGCAACTGCTGCAGAGCCACTGCTCTGCATCTGAGGCAGTTGTGGCGCTGCAAATTGCGGCACACTGGGCGGGATAGGTGAGTAAACCGTTAACTCTTCAACGCCCTCCGCCCTTGTTAGCCCTGGACCTGCACCCGGACCTGGACGTGGACCTGTTCCTGTCCCTGTACCTGCCCCTAAGCTGCTCCTGGCTGCCTTGAGCGTGGGATTAAATCAGCTTGCCCCTAAAAATAACGCAAGCTTGTCATGCATGGCAGTGGCAGCCCCCAGCCCGGGTGGCAAGCTGGCATGGTGAGGCAGCCCCAGAGTTTCCTTCACGGTGGGCGTGTCGTGTCGTGGCGTGGCGTGGCGTGGCTCGGTGCTTCTCTGTGTAATTTACTATTATTTTTTAAGCACTTCCCCTTTATGCACCGTGCTGCACACAAACAATTTTATTGTTTGTTTCATTTCGCATTTTGTTTGTCTGCAGTCTGCGTCTTTTCTGTGCTCCACTCTGGAGGTGGCAGGAAGGAGCCAGCGCGGGTGCCGCAGTAGCACGTGAGAAATTACACATGTCCCCCGAAAATGTTTTCAACATATATGCTGCCATGCAATCTGCATGCATCCCATCCCATCCCCCAGAAACAAAAAATATATATCTGCATCTGCATCTGCACCCGTATCCGTGCTCGTATCCGTAACTCTGACTATTTGTTTGTCTTCTCATTTTGTTGTTTGTTTGTTCGCTCTCTTCTTTTTTGTCTCTGCTGCTGCTGCATGTTTTGTGTGTTGGCTGCCAGATTTATGCTTTGGCAAACGGAATTTGTCTCGTGTACTACATCCACCAAACGAAACCAAAGCAAAGCAAGCCAAAGCAAAGCTTTCCCCAGCATCCATCCATCCATCCATCCACCCTCTAATCCGAATAAGAAATTGATGACCCGAGATATGCGCTGCAGTTGCAGATTTTCCTCAGGCCAAATTGAATTTACCGTTGGCTCGGTGGCTCGATGGCTGCTCCGTGGTGGAAACGCCGCTTGCGTAATTATTTCCACGTGCTTTGAGGGTCATTTCGGAATTATTACATTTCCCACCCACAAAACAAAGGCCTCTACGAGTACTTACCTAATGCTATGCTATGGTCTGCTCTGGTCTGGTCTGGTTTTGGCTCGGCTCGGCTTTCGCCGCTTTTGAGCCCATAAAATGAATTTTAATTTGACCTGCCACCTGACTGTCCACAGAGCCCCCGGCCCAACATGTCCTTCCGCTCAAAAAAAATGCAGAACACTTTTTGTGTGTTTACAACCCGGAAATATTGCAAACAAAATACTAAATAAGGAATTAGAAATTCGAATTTGTCATGCCCCACAAATGCTCTGTAAAACGGCAATGCTAAAGCTAATTATTATTATTTTTCAAGGCTAAATATTTATAGAACTAATCTCAGATCTATCTAATCTTCAGTCAACTGATGAATAAGTTTCCTGACATTTGCTATGCAAAGAATCGCTGGGGGGATAGCAGCAGCGAGATACTCATCAGCAGCCTCTTATCAGCAACTGGTTGTCTCAGCGATAGCTGGATGATATTATTATGTTTAACAAACTTCTCATCTCCACAAAGTACTTCCCATGCAAGGCCTCCTGATTGAGAAATCATTTGAATCGTTGCTAATTCTAATCCAATAAGATAGGGTATCAGCATAGCTTACGGTGTGTTTGTTCTCCGAACCAAATACACATACACACACATGTGCCTACATATGCAAAC